TTACATCTGTAAACATAACACAGTCCACACTCGTGTATTTATACTCAGAGTATGGGGGAAAAATTATTCTAAATATACTTTCCAGATACTATAAATTCTACAAAAAATTAAGTAGGATTAGGAAATTGAGGATTAGTATGTTTAGGCATTGCTGTTATTTCCAATAGAGTGGTCACAAAATTTTCTTTGAGCAGAAACCTAAGCACAAAGTGAGGAAGCAAGTCACAGGGATGTCTAGGGGAAGAGGATTCTACACAGAGGTAACAGCAAGAGCAAAGGCCCCAGGGAAGTCCCTGGCATGTTTGCAGAGCAACATGGAGGCTTTGTACAAGAGTAAGGAGGAAAGTGATTGCAGTGAGCCACCAGGGAGGCCGGGGGCCAGATCAATTGGGAATGAATGCATATAAGTTCTGTGTTTTATTCTGAATGGCATGGAAAGCCATTAGGATTATAAACAAAGGGATGTCATGGCTGAATTTAAGTTTTGAAAGAGTCACTCTGGCTGCTGTGTGGAGAGGAGGTATCACTAGCATGGAAGCCAAGAGAGCAGTTTGGGGACAATCGCAATAATCCAAGGGCCTTTAACTCAAGGTGACAGAGTAAGAGGTGGTGAGATTAGAGTGTATTTTAAAAGCATAGCCAAGAATATCTGCTGATTGATTGGTTGTCAGGGATGAGGAAAAAAAGACATGTTAAGAACAACATCAGGAATTTTGAGCTAAGCAATTGGAGGAATGGAGTTGCCATTTACTGAGATAGGGTGGGCTGCCTGGGTGAGTAGCAGGTTTGGGAAGGTTGACCTGAGAGCTCTGTTATGAACATGTTGAAGTTGAAATATCTAGTAAATGTCCGGGTGGAGACTAAGAATGCAGATGAGTATGTCAGTCTGGAGGAAGTCTCACTAACTGGGGAGTTGATCTAGGCTGAAACAACTATTTTGGAAAGGTCAGCATCTAGATGATGTGTAAAGTCCGGAGACTGGGTAAGGAGCCCTAGGCTCTAGGTTGAGCCTAAAGAGCATAGAGTTCCAAGAGCTAAGCCCTGAGTACCTGTGAGGAGAAAGGACCAAGAGGAAAAGAGAGGGAAAAACAATCATGGGTGGAGAAGAAGAAGAAGCAAGAGGAAGTGGTGACCCAGAAGTCCCCTGTTTTAGGAAGGGTTTCCTGGCAGCCCTAAAGGTCCCTTTGAGACTTATGGTTATAAACTTAACATGAGACTTGTTTCAAAATAGTTGGAGAAAAACTCCAGCCACATTTAGCTGCTGGGGTGTAGGCATGGAGAGATGGAGAGGTGGATTTTTTTTTTTAATGTTTATTTATTTTTGAGACAGAGAGAGAGACAGAGCATGAATGGGGGAGGGTCAGAGAGAGAGGGAGACACAGAATCCGAAGCAGGCTCCAGGCTCCGAGCTGCCAGCACAGAGCCCGACGCGGGGCTCGAACTCACGGACCGTGAGATCATGACCTGAGCCGAAGTCGGACGCTTAACCGACTGAGCCACCCAGGCTCCCGGAGAGGTGGATTTAAGCAGGATCAGGTTTTCCCAGGAGACTGATTGTGGTGGACACTCGGGGTCAAGGGAGATGAGAGTGCATGAAAGGAAGTCACTGTAAGGACGGACCATGGACTCCATACTTTGTAAGAAGGGAAAGGAGGACATGGCAGGTCAATGAGTTGAGAGATCAAAGAATTATTGAACGATTAGTATCATCCCTGCAGGGTCTTAATATGGTAATATAACTCAGACTACATCGTTAATAATCATTCAAGGATTCTGTGCCTGTGTGGAAAGACTAGTTCCTAAAGAGTGGTAGATTAACAGAATACTGAAAAATAATACAGCAGCCTAATAATTACATTTGAAATGCCTTGCGTTTATACACTGCTCTCATGTTTTTCAAATCATTTTCAAAGATCTTTTTGTCATTTTACATTCTCAAATATATCGTGGCCAGAGAAGACAGCTTTATTGAAGTCTCAGAAGAATCTTAGAAGTCTTAAAAGAATCAAGTTGCTACCCTGTTTCCTAGATTAAAAGATATTTAAATATCCACTTATCTTCTAAAATAAATTTATTAATATTGGGCATTTAGCTGGTATGGTTCTATATATAATTATACAACTTACATTATTTATCTTCTCCTACCAAAATTAATAAATCGGTCTTCAAACAAGACCCAGAAACAAATAATGTCATTGTGGAAATGTATACTACTCATTGAATTCAGAGTAATAATACATGATAGCGTGACATTTGATGTGTCCATGGAGATTCATGGGCTGAGTCTTGAAAGTGTTGAACTTGGATATCTATAGATATGTTTTATTTCTTGGATAAAACTTTGTCAGATAGAGCTCAGCATGTACTCTTGCCATTGCGCAGATCTTACAGAACCCTTCAAATACCCACAAAGGAAATGATTTATGAAACTTCTCTAGCCTTATTCTCTACACTTTCCCCAACTTCATACCTTTGCAGGTTCTATTTCCTTTTCACCTGAAATGCTCATCCCCTCTCCCCCAAACTTCTTTTTTCTAACAAACCCTACCTGCCCTCATGGAAGACCCATTGTTAAGTCCAGTGTTAAGGTAGTTTTTGCTAATTCCCCTCAAGTTAAAGACCTCCTCCTTAGATCACTTTGTGTCACTGTTTGGCTTTCTTAGCACATGCTCTTTTGTTTTCTAGTTATTCTAACCATATGTTTGTCTTACCCACAAAACTAGTTTTTTGACAACAAGGGCTTCTTTGTAGCTCCAGCTTTTTTCAAAGCTGGATAAATTATATTAGGTGCACCAAGGGCCAGCCTGGGATGGGGAATATGAGAAACAACCACCAAGGAACGTCTTCCAGGAGGGAGAGCCAGAGGACAGGGCTGTTGATGCCCATTCCTCAGCAGTTCCAGGCAGCTCTGAAGAAGTCCTTAGGAAACAATTAGATTTGGAACTTGGGTCTCCTTCCTGAAACCACTACTCTTGGGTGGCTCTAGGCCAGAAAGGTTTTCCCTGTTCCAAATCCTCAACCAAGAAAGGCTCTAGAGCCCTTTTAGGTTTCCTCGCAAGTCAGAATTGCCAGCATAAACAAGGTGTAACTCAGGGAGATATAGTGTATTGGAGTGATATGTTTGTTTTCTAAGAAAATTTAATTTGGTGATCTGTAATTCTATTATTTTTGTTGTTATTGTTTTCTTATTATTAATATGGCATGCCTTAACTACTGCATAGGCCTCCTTCCCACTCTGCTCTTCTCCCTCTGCTTCCTCCTGATCCCAGCCCCCAACATGCGCGCGCACACACACACACACACACACACACACACACACACACACGACAGAGCTATCCTCCCCTAAAGGAACCAGCTTGTCTTCAGGAGCCTCCCCTTCTTCTTGCTTCCCTTTTGAGTATCTAGAATCCCCAAGGTGCTGACCCTAATCTTGGTATCTTTCACTAGTCACTACATCCAAGTGTCCTCCTCTGCTTTGATCCACATTTTATTTTATTCTGTCAGGACCTTGACCCTCTGCTATAGCAATCAGCTCTGCACTAAATAAATCCACAGCATTCCGATGAGTACCAGCATGTTTAAAAAAAATCCAGTCTCTCTTCCTTAATCTTCGTTATTCATTTTGACAGTGCTTATTCATTGTTACTCTGCTCATCAAATGCGATATTTCCAAAGTTTATCTAAGCCAAAAGAGTAACTCAGTCCCTTGCATAATGCCTGGCACATGGTAGATCAACCCAATAAAATATGGAAGGAATGAATGAATGAATGAATGGGTTCAAGTAGTGGCTGTCTTTGGCTTCCTAGTGAGGTAAAATAAAGGTCAGACATTAAAAAGAGGAGTATTTTTGGATAAACTAAATAAAGGTTTTGCAGTATCACCGTTGACCTTCCTCATTAATATCCAGCTACACCTGCCCCCATATTTTGAGAAGACAAATTAGCTTCCCCACCTACTTGCTTCTCCCGTCTTTTTTTTTCTTTTTCTATCTGATTTGATGGCGATTGCTACCGGTAAAGGCTTTGTCTTTACCACTTTTTTGAAAAATGTTGAATTAGATGAACAACTTCTTGCTTTAGCTGAGATGCAACCAAGAGAAAATGTAATCACTCCCCATCCTTCCCCACCTGCTCTCCTTCTCTTTCCCCATCTCCTTGTCTAGTTCTTCTCACCATCAGGACCTCAGCCTCAGAGGCATCTCCAACATTCTGGGAAAACAAAGAAAGGAAATCTGGGAGTACTGCATAATCACTAGTTGCCTAATCCTTCTTTTGTAGTGGACTCAGCTTGAAATTTGAATGAAAAGGAAATCTTCAGAGCACTTTTCCCATACAAATCATCTCTCTGTTTTTTGTATTTTCTCTCACACATAAACAAACATCATATTTGGCCTGATGAAAGGCTTACAAAGGCTGTCTTTCCTGTTAGCATTTGGAATAAAAATAGAGAATTGTTTAGTCCTCCAGATCCCTATTAAATTTCCCACAATTTCTGTGAAACCCTGACCGAGCTACTGTCTTAACATAAATGATAATGAGACTAAACAAAGGAGTCATGGGTGATGGCAGGCTCAGGCCCTAGATGCTCACATACTTCCCTCCCTTTTTTTAAGAGTGCAAATATGAAGAAAAAAATGGGGAAGTGATGTAAAGACAGTAAAGTTCTCAGTGTGCAAAAATTAGACTTTTGCATCAACGGCGACCGAGCCTTCCCAAATTTTAAAAGGTGTACACCTGCAAATGCTTCTGTTCATATTGTATGCCAAGAATTAACACTCTTCGGTCATGTTCTGAATGTCCAACCTTTCTATCCTGCTTGAAACAGATGCTACTTCCATGCCAGTCACAACCACCTGTGGTCGCCATGTGTCATGTTGCATCACATAGATGTAATGCCATTCTGTCATCTTTTCTCCACTCCTCATTTTATCCAAGCATGTAGTGTGCTATTACTCTGCTACTGTATACACTCTGTATACATTTCTGTTCTTCCTTGCAAGATTGTGAATGCTTCGGCCACTCCAATCGATGCAGTTATATCGATCTGCTAAATACAGTCATTTGCGTGAGCTGTAAACACAACACTAGAGGGCAGCACTGTGAGTTATGCAGGCTGGGCTACTTCAGAAATGCTTCTGCACAGCTGGACGATGAGAATGTGTGCATAGGTCAGTTCCATTATAATTTCAGCTATTGTTCTGTGCCTTTCGAGCTATGGGGAGCTATTCAAGGTGAAGAGGCTGTTAACTTGAACCACGGCTGAGCCAGAATGAACTTTCTCAATGGAGAAAACATCCTTGTGGTAGACTTAAAATTCTCTTGTGCCGGTTGAATTGGGGAATATATTCTGAATCCTTATGTTTTTGTTGCTTTAAATATGATGATCTGGAAATCTTGTTTAGAAGATGAAGAATTTTCTATCAATTATTCTTTCTTCCTTTTTTTTGCATGAAATCTTAAAACTTGGTAATATCAAACTGATCTTAAAGGCTTATGTTGTACATTCAACTTTTAAAATGAAAACTCATTATATGGGACTTAATTATAGATATGAGTAATTAGGATAAACTCTTGCCATAACTGGTAATCAACAAACATTGATTGATTAAAAATATTGCCAATTGGAATTGAAAATCATTAGCAACTGGTAATATAGAAGTTTGCCTGACTTTTCCATCCATAGCAAGGAAATTCCATTTATTTAATTTTCCTAGCCCCCCAAAGCAGAAGCAATTTCTCAGAACTATTATAGGCAATGAATTCTCATAGCTTCCAAGGTAAATAAGGAAAAACTGGGTCCACAGGATTCCCTTGAGCACTATCCCCTACCTACCATGACTACTGCTCAGGTCAACTGGAGAAAGAACCTGTTTTCACAGACAAAAAATTTCTCCCACCTTTTGCACAGTGGAACCAGTCTTTAAGAAAGGGAGCTGATGGAAAAATAAGAAACAATAAATGGAATTTCACTTCATAATTTACTTTGAAGAAATGCATATATTTGAAATGGTCAAGGTACATGTGTGTCTGTTACCATACCAGTAGGTAAATACATTGGCAACTAATTTTCAAAATAGAATTTTTCACATAAAGACTAATGTAAATTTTTTAAAAATGCAGAAAAATGACAGGTGGTTTTTTTCATCAAAAAAGAAATCTAATCTGCAATTCTGAGATCATTGTCTTCTGATTAGGTCATCAAGATCATATGGCTACTTGCCCAGAATCCCATAAGCTAGGTCTACAAGTTGTTGTGAATTCAGTTAGACCAAGTTTACATAATACTGTTAATATCTACAGTATGTTCTATTTTTCCAAGTGCCTCCTTATTTATTATTTGTGAATTAGTGGAGAGATCACTGGACTTAGAGACCGGAGAGCTGGGTTCAAGTCCCATTTTGCTATTTAATAGCTGTATGTCTTAGGTAAGTCCTTTCAGAACTCCCAGTCAAACAAACTGGGATCATATGGAATGCCCAGGAAACACTTGGTAAACTGTGAACTGACTTGCAAATATGGTTTGTTTTTGTTTTTGTTTTGTTTTGTTTTTACTTAATCCTCATTAACAAAACCAGGGGGGGTAAGTATTCCACTGATAATTTCCTCTATTTTCTAGTTGAGAAAAGTAAGGTGAAATGAACCAAATTATACAGCTTTAGCAAAGAGTTAGCTTCCTGACTTCAGAGCTTGAACATCTTCTCCCAGCTACCCTGACACAATTAGCAAAACTAAACTTGTCAGACTTCTTACTTAAACGGTATGCTTTTTGGATGACAGTAGCAATTCCACCATGAGTTTGTGAACAGTAGTTCAGTGGCCTTTATAACAATCGGGGTTACAAAGATTTGAGGCTATTAATAACCCAAAAGACATGTAGCTGTCTGAATTTTGAATGCAGAGCTACACTTCACTGAATGTCATTTGCAAAAATATATAAATGTCATACTATAAATACAGAAACAAGAGAAAAGGTAAAATAAATAGGAACGCAGGAATAAAAATCATTTTCATAAAATACCTAAAATTAACATGTTTTACAGTGTTAATTTCATAGTATTTTAAACAAATCAGAGAAAAAGGCCTTAAAAGAAAAGATTTTATTCCATAAAATTTCTAATAGCAGGTAACTTAACAATATCCCAAAGTGTTTTACTCAGAGTATTCTTTCTTATAAGCTTTGGCCTTTTTCCAGTCCTAAAGTAATTTTATGAAGTATAAAATCTGCACTTACTATTTAATTTTAAGAGGTTTAGTCCTGTTGTAAATCTATTTCTGATTATCTACAAGCAGGAAGGCAGCCTGTTTAGCTTTTGTCTTTTGAATAACATCAACTAGTGATGAAATATGAAAAAGCTGAATATACATTTCTTCTCCTGCCTAAAAAAATCAAGAGCATTTGTTATCTCCATTTCTAGACAGTTTGTTAGTTAAAATTATAAATCTTTGGGGAATTTTATTTTATTGAAGCAAACATGTTTCTATTCAGTATTTTATACTTTCCAAACCAAGTAAATTGGTAAACCCAAAGATGAGAACTTTTAGGTACCATTAAAATTGGCTATAATATTCCCCCACATACCAAAATTCCTTAAATTGCTGCCTTTTTTCTAAGGCGTAAAATTGTTTGTAAAGAATGCATTGGAAAATGTAGCTAGCTGATATATGCTATAGTCTGTCTTTTGTCTTTAGTCTATATATATGTACAATGAATCAATAACAATAAAAGCTATGTCCTATAAGAGCTACGGGTTCCACTTTCCCACTTGAAGAGCTGCCTACACACCAGGCTAAGACTGGAGTTTGCTCTCTGACGGCCATTGGTAGCCTGTGGCTCCCTATTGCCAAGGTTTGCCCTAAGGGAAAGCATGAACTTATTCACTCTTTTCCACAGTTAAGCTCCCCAAAGGGCTTGAGCCAGGACTGAGAATTAAATTGAAGAGCATACATCACAAATAATTGAGTTTAATACCTTTTTGTATAGAAAGCACTAATGAAAATGAATGGATATTTACCCAATTCACTTTCACAGAATTAAGCACCAATCTCAGAAAATTTGAACTTCATCTAAGTCTTCTCCAAATTTAAGGGGGAAAAGAGGCATTTTGCCATCTCTTCAACAAATGACAATGAAATCCACCACACTGGCTGTGAGGGAACAGGCCGAATCTCGACAAAATATAGACTGCATTGAAGTACATGTCGTAAACTATTTGCGTCATTTTATATTATGACAAATATAAAATGCAGGCTATTCCGTGTTGCCACAGTGGTTGCTGCTTATTGGTTACTGGTGAATTTCCCCATTTTCATACAAATTCCAAGCACAGCCATGTCTCCAAAGATGCATGTAATTACCCTGTATTACGCAGCAATTACATGAAGATGACACCCTTGCATGCTTCTGTTTCATATAAACTCAAGCATTAAGCAGGAAGTTAGAGGATATGTGGTTCGTGACCTTGGGTAATCACTGCTAATAATCTCTGGTAACAAGCTTGACATCAGAATGAAACACAGGGTTCAGCATTTGCTACTAAACGTATCTGAAATTATGAAGTATTGTCTTTTTATTCCCCTTGAAACCCAAGATCAGGTAGTCAGAGGTACCTTCTATAGACAGGATACTTCTAATACCTATAAATCAATTGTACTGTAACTTTTTAATCAAACCTCCAAAGTATTTCATGTTATTTTTTAGCCTAACAGTCCTGCATATTCTTCCTGGTTTAATGTAATAAAATATAATACTCCAAGGCCATCACCAATACCTACCATTGACCATGGTATTCTTTAAAAAACTAAGTTATTTGTACATAAGGTGGTAAACCTCTCCTTGTCACTTATTTTCCCTACTGTTTGTATAACATAACACTTATCACCCTTCCTGTGACAATCACTGGTTTAGGTGTCCCATGTTTAAAAAAAAATTTGTTTACTTTCTTTGCATCTAAATCCTTATATTAATATAATTGCTATGGGCTAAATGACTAGACTGGTGTGTGGATTCCTGTTGGCTAGATATAACTCTACTCCCTGGTTTGCAAAATGCTGGTGACTCACTGTCAACTTATGAACTCGAAATAGTAAGAAACATTAAATGTTGAATAAGTATAAGCACAGACTTATAGTATAAATATGTACACAAAACATTTTAAAGCCATACAAAATTACTATTTAAAAAAAAATCTTTTTAAACAACTCCCATGTACACACATTAAAATAGAAAATGATGACTTAAAATAAAACTCTAGTTATTAAATACAAACCAAGCCAGGCAAGGAGGGAACATTTTAGTTTATTTAGTTTTATTTTTACCTGCATATGTCACTATCACTATTAGTCTTATCAATGCTTATATCACCATAATGCAGAACTCAAAAATTGACTAACATGAAATAAATCATAATCGTAAGGTCTTCCACATTTTCTGAAGACATTCTCCAGTTAATTCCTGTAGTAAAACCAGAACAAAATGTCCAGTCCTCTCTATAACGTTAAACCTTGAATCTCTGTTGCCAGTCTAAAACACTAAACTTGATGCTGTTAAGCTAAAGCTCTCAGGGCTTCCGTTGGTTGGTTGGTTGGTTGGTTGGTTGGTTGGTTGGTTGGTATGATTTTACTTGTTTTTTAACCAGAAAACCTTTTAATAGGACCCTTTTAGTATAAAGGAAACTGAGAGACAGAGAGGCATAATGACTTGTCCAAGATTATACAGTGGGGTAACAAGGAAAGAAACTTTGGCCCCCAAGTCCCCAAAGCTGCAAACTAGCTGTTATTACCTTTCAAACTAAAGGAAACCTAAGGAATCCCCACTTCAGGTTCAGCCTTTCAGCTAAACAGAGTTTCAGAAGCAAAAGTATCCTGTATAAGAGTGTGTGAGGAATCCAGAAAACACTCTATTTACTCTTCATTGGACAAAGTTGTTTTGTCCTGCCAGGAGACATTATGATGAAATATATGTCTCAAATTATGCCTATGTTGAAATTTACTTGGGATTACAAAATTTATTTTTCTTTCATGATTGTTAATCTAGGCTGCATAAAAACCATACTAACATGCCTAGCAGATAGAGTATCTAAAAGCTCATACCAAACAGTATATATATAAATAAGTTAAAGTGCTTTCCCATATCATAAAGTAAAAATGCCTTTGAGTGAACAAAGTGCATTCATATTGCACTTTAAAAATGTTCAGCAGTTCTCAAATATTGAGTGTAACAGATAAGGCCATTTGAATAATTTAAAACAGATTTTACACTGATGGCATATTGATTTATCCTTGATATACAAACTTCTCATGGTGTTCATTAAACCATCTAAAAATGCCCTAACAAATGGAATCTCTATTATGATCTGTTAGCCATGAAGAGCATAATGTCTTATTTCCTGGGAAGTTTTCAGTTAATTTCCTCCCATATCATAAAAACAGCATCACAGAAGGCTGAGGAAATAAATAAAGGGGCCTGAGATAGCTGTATTTGCCAAAGCATTTCATTAGCGGACATCTTTCTTTAAGTAAGCGATGCATTTAAGTGACGCTCCTGTGTTGATAACCTATAAGCCATGCAGACTTGTCTCCAGCCTGTGTGTTGTCTTGTTTCTACAGAGTGTTATTGTAACCCTTTGGGCTCAGTCCATGATCGTTGTAATGGCTCAGGATTTTGTGAGTGTAAGACGGGAACGACAGGGCCTAAGTGTGATGAGTGTCTGCCGGGAAATTCCTGGCACTACGGCTGTCAACGTAAGTAACTCTGGGAGCTGCCCTCTGCCTGCTGCAGCATGGCTGATCTGCTTGTCCAGGCCGGTGTGTGCAGCTTCTCAGAGCAGAAAAAGACCCAAGCCACTGACAAGCTTTAAAAGCTACTTAAAGCTCCAGCCTATGTATAGGAGAGAGAGCAATCCATCAGCTGTCCAGCCAGCTTCTTTGAAGCCCATCTTCTTCTCCTCTGAATGCAGGAGCAACTTATATTGAAATATTGTACTCAGATCCATGTACCTGGCCAGACCATAAATTAAGTGGCACAATAGGGACCCAGCGTGGAAATCCTCACCACAAAATGAAGGGTGATGTGGATGTGGTTAATATATTTCTTGAACTGAAAGCTACCTCAAAGCTCCAGAGTTCATAAATTAAATGATATCTACATAACTTATTACCACCCCTGCTCTCACACCCATCACTGAATCTTAACCAGAAACCTAAGGGTAATAAATCTAAGGGATATTTAAATGCCAGGGTAAAATAATGAAAAAAATCAATATTGATTTTAAGCCTCTGAGGTTAGGCACCATGCAGTGAGACTTAGACAGATGCCATTTGGTTCAGCCTCATTTCTCTGAGGATTATCAGACCTTCTTAAAAGCTTGTCAGGCAGGTGGCATGTCGGTGTATTTGGGGAACAGAAATTTAAAAATCTGAGCAGAAGCTTCCTTCTGTCATTCATAACCTTTTCTGCTTTTTCATTATGCACTAACTTGTGAGTCTATCCATACACATTTAGCTTACTAATATTAAAGAGCCACCAGGCAAATCCTCGAGAGCAGTGCAGTCCAATAGAAAATTGTGCAAGCCACATATGGAATTTTAAATGTTTTGTTACCCACATTGAAAAAGAAACTGAGTTTAACATCTTATTTTATTTAACCCAAATATCTCAAATAGTATCATTCAACATAAAATCAACATCAAAACTATTAAAGATACGTTTTTTCCATACTGTATTTGAAATCAAGTGTGTGTTTTATTCTTACAGAACATCTCAATTAGGACTGACCATATTGCAAGGCCTAATAGCCACATGTGTCTACCATATTGGACAGCACAGCTCTAGACATTTTTTGTTTGTTTGTTTTTCTGCCTTTTTGGGATTGTTTTGTTTTGTTTTTGTTTTTGTTTTTGCTTACTTTTCACTTGAAAACAATGTCAGCATGCAGGAACTGTCTAAAGCTAAGTCCAGGGCCTTACAGAATATTTCACCAGCCACTCGTCAAATTTATACTTATCTGTAAGCTACCCTTCTACATAATGTAAAGCCAAAGTGAAATTAACTGCCATCCTATTGTCATGGGCGGCAGAAAACTGTGGTGATAGTTTGAGAAATTTGCCATTGAGTATGCCAAGGTTAATATGGGATCAAGGAGCTGGAGGTGAGCATCTCCAGCCATGCTGGAGAGGAGCATTAGAAGACAAATAGTCAGAAGTCATGCAGCATACCTGCATGTGAGCTCTGTATAAGGCCATGGTTAAAAATCCTACATGCTATAGATTCCTAGAAGGCACCTTAGGGGTATGGATGACTTGGTGGATCCCAAGGACCATATGAGGAGCCAGGACTCAGCGGACAGTCATTGGTCCTGGAACATCTGGATGTGGAGGCCCAGAGAATGCCAGCAGCCAAAAGGAGAGAAGGAGGGACAGACAAAGGAAGGACCCAAAATAGGTCCAAGACTCAAGGCATAAGGCATAAGACTTTACAATTAAGACACACTTCTCTAAAAGAAAGATCCATGTAAATTTCCTGATGGAACAGGACCTGAGGAATGGGTTCCTGTAGTATAATCAGAGAAAGACATTAGAGAGGAAAACTAATCTAGCCTTAGAGGAAATATATCCCAAAAAGGTCCTAACTTGATTTTTCTGTATTGATTATTGGAGTATTATAAACTGATATAATGTCATCAAATTTTCCCTTCTGGAAGTGGAAGACTGTATTACACGTGGCCCTACCACATAAAGGCTGTGCAATATAGAAAACTCTGTACCTCAGCTCCAGCATCTCACATCCTTGGTATGTATGGATAAATGAGATTATGGAAGCGAATGCTTTATCCTCTTGAGTATTTCTTGAGTACCTTCCATGAATTAGGCATTGAGGTAACAGTAGAGGCTACAAGGATGAAGAAAGATAGCTGCTGTGCACATATAGGCATGGAGTTCACACAATCTGAGGTAAGAGGCTAACCTGCAACCCAATGATTATGAAAGAAGATAATCAGAACTAAGAAAGACCTATAGGTGTGCTTTTAGTGAAGCCCGGGTGGGAATTGTAAGGCTTCCCAAAGAAGTGACATTTGATTCAGTACTGAAGGATTAGTAGGAGCTTTACAGGAGGGAATTTCTTGAGCAAAAGTGAATGAGCTAACCCACTATGTTCCAGAAATACCAAATAGTTTTGATGTGATGGGGGATGAGGTGTGTGTGTGTGTGTGTGTGTGTGTGTGCGCGCGCGCACGCGCATGCATGTGTGTATGTGTTGGGAGGGAGGGAAGATGTTGAAAAGGCAACCAGAGACCAGATCATATGGCTTCATGAACACTAAGCTGAGGAATTTCTTCTCACTGGGGAGGAGACAGACACGGAATCCATCATACAGTTTTAAGCACAGGAATGAAGTTGTCAGATTTTGTTTTAGAAAGATTATTCTGGCTGCTCTGTAAAGGAAGGACTGGAACAGGATGAGATGGGATTTGTTCTATAAATTTAACATATTTCAAATACACCTTTGAGTATGCAATAGCTTTTTCTTACTCTGAAATATCTTTTCCTTCCCTCAGACCCACCCACATAGGGCTGATATTCTACATAAAAATATAGAAGTTCTGCTGTCAGTTGATAAATGGCTATGAGATGAGGATCCTTAAGTGCCTTCCCCAGGATCTCTCAGACCACCCCCAAGATTCAGCAACTACTAGGATAATACCTGTCATAGTAAGGTGCCTCCAGCACCAGTACTATATAACAGATATCATTCTAATTAGTTGGCGATTATAGGTTGACAAATATTTTTCATATCACTCTGTGTCTGCACACACATGAATGTACTCAAAATAAGTCCCTCAAGTCAATTCTCTCTTTCTCTCTTCCCTCCACCCTCCTCCCCACCCTACCCCCCACACTTCTACTGAGATGAACCCATCCTTGAGTTAGCCACATTATCAGTGGCAGTAATTAACCTGACAACAAGAAACCAATGCCAAGAAGAAAGCAGTGGTAAATAGGGCTGGCAGTGGTGCTGGTAGCCATGAGCAGGGAGGAAGCAGACAAACTTAGGCTCTGGGTTTGAATTTCACCTCCACCTCCTACTACCTGCAAGACTTAGAGGAAATCACTTGGACTCTCTAAGCACAGTTTTTCATCTTAAAATGGGGGTATACTAGGACCTAACACATATGGTAATTGTGAAAATTCAAGGAAAGTAATGAATGTGGACTTTATGGTACATAGTAAGCACTCGATTATTATTATTTAATTCCAAGCACATGTTGATGTGTCAAAATGCTAGGCAAGAATCTGTGTTTAAAAGTTATTGTACAGTGATAGTGCAGAACATCAGCAAGCTGGGCCACTATTGAAATTCCAAACTGTGGACTTAGGAAGTTCTAAAAAGCCCTTTATGATAAGCAAGGCTGATTTAAGAGATTGAAGCAAAGCTGACCCCAAAAACAATGCTATGGCTTCAGCAGGCGAAATGAAGAAGTCTAGGTTCATAAGTGAACCTTCTCCCTCAGGGGGCCACCGATTGTGTGCTCCATAAATGTAAGCTGCTCTCTCTGACATAAAAGGTGAAACACTTGAAAACCATTGGAATGAATGGTCTTTAGACAGCATGGAGCACACCCAATCTAGGAGAGAAAGGAGAAAGAAAAAGATTTCAAGGACACCAAGCAGAATCTAAATTAGTGTTGAGGTTACTAATAGAAGAATGAGATGTTGAGGAGAAGGAGGGTTTTTTTTATGTGCCCCTCTGAAGTTAGTGAAGAGGGATGAACCACATCCCAGAGAATAAAGTTAAACCATCCAAAAGGAAACCACGTTCCATGCTTCACATAAAACACGGAGGGTTAACATGTATTGGGAAGTAATGAAACACTTGTTCTAAGGAGATGGACATAGGGGAGGTTGGGGGTATTTTGGTTTGGAAAATTTAATGGAAATAGCCACACATAGAACCAATGAGGCTGAAAAGGTGTGTCATTTCCCTGGAGGACATATAAGACACATTAGAATATCATGCAGTGTATATTAAGCTACCAAGTATCTCCCATTTTTACCTAGTTTATATGAATACTAATGGTACTTTCAAAAGAACTTATAGTCTGAATATTTGGACTAAAGTCCAAAGATTTGGTAACATAGTTCAGTGTTATGATTTTGGAAGATAACAGAGCATGTAGGAAATCAAGAACTAAGTACATATAGCAAGGGGAAGGCTGAGATTCAGTTGCTGGATCATGGCCTACAATATCAGAATATGGGTTCTTGGAAGGGATCAGTACATATATTACTGTGAATAGAGAAATGAGTGTTTAGCAGAAGACTCAATGGCCTGATCAAGAAGACTTTTAATTAAGTTTGAGTAGGGTATTGTGAAATACCTTTATAAAACTGTAAAAACTGAACACTGTGGCAAACCACAGAGTTAAGAAAAGAAGACAACAGTTATTCTCAGAAGAATAAGGGAAAGTTGGGAACAATACTCTATGGCTTAGATGTTTTCCTTCCCAGAGAGAGCACAATAGTTATATTCATTTTCTACTGCTACTATAGTAAGCTACCAGAAACTTAGTGGCTCAAAACAACAGAAATGTATCTCTTAAAGTTCTGTATTTAGGAGTCCAACAAGAATCTCACTGGGCTAAGATCGAGCTATTGGCAGAGTTGTGTACCCTTCTGGAGGTTCTAGCAGCAAAATCTTTTTCCTTGCCTTTTATAGCTTCTAGAAGCCACCTGCATTCCTTTGC